GTTCGTCGTTGGCTACTTCTTGGATGCTCGGCAGCATTAGGTCGATGGTGGCTAGCTCGAGCTCCCTTCGGCGTTGTGCGAGGTCCAGGCCCGCCTTGCTTAGCAGCCTTTGTGTCTGTTGGGCTCATTCGTGCCTTGCGGCCTCGTGTCCTCGAGTCGTACGCCCGTCTCTTGCTCGCGTCTGTTAGGACTTCGTGTGCCTCGTTCACGAGTTTGAATCTCGCTTCCCGCCCGGCTCTGCACGTCTGCTGGTGCGTCTCTGTTCCTGTCCGGATGCCAGAGCAGTGCTTCCCGTCTGTACGCCCGTCGCACCATATCTGTCGTCGCGTCGGCTGCCACCCCGAGGATGGAGTAGAGTTGCCCTGTGCGCTGTGGGCGCTGGTGGGGCGTCGTCGTGGCGATGAGTCACGATGGCGCTGCCCCTCTCGTTTGGCGTGAAGGCGGCGTCCTCTTGGGTGGCGCACTCGCCGCCGTACCCCCCGAGCGTGCGTCTCTTGAGCTCGCCGGAGTAGATCTCCTTGATTCGCTGCCACATCTCGCTTTCGCGATGGAACGTTGAGTATGCCTTGCGTGCCCGGGGTTCGTCGATGAACAGGTCTCGCCATCTGTCCAGCGTCTTCGGCGCCCGGTCGGGCGTCCCGCCGATCTCGCCTCGGCGCATTTTGGGTTGTTTATATCTACCCTTATAAGTCTCTGGTGTCCGCGCCGACGCTCACTGTTTAACCGTAGAACGTCCCAGCCGAAATCCGCCCGCCACGATCGATCAGTCCACAATCGTCGGCCCGCAACGACCCGCAGCGATGGATGCCGCCCCCCCCCACGGCCCCTACGGCCGACGCGCCGATGCACGACCGGCCTCCGTCGGACGGCTCTCCGGCCTCTCCGGCCTTTGCCGCCCGCGCTGCTGCCGATCCGGTCCCCTTCACGCTCCGCACAAGCAACGACAACTTTGAGGTCGCCGGCTTTGGCCAGGTGCATGCCCACCACCTGCTTGCCTCCATGTTCACCCTTCGCGCCCCTCCCCCCCTCTGACGCCGCCGTATGACCTTAGGTGAGGGGCACGACTGCCCGCCTGGAAGGCGCTCTCATCAGCAAGTCACCCAGGCACCAACTCGGCGGCCGCTCCTAGAACTCCTCGTCGCTCCCCTCGTAGAGCGAGGCCTCGTTCGACTCGAGGCGTGGGCCGCCGTCGTAGGGGGAGCGGGCGGCTCCGCGAGCGATACTCGCCCAGTCCTTCTTGGTGCCGCCGCGGCCGCGTCCGCCGCGCCGGTCTGCGCGCCGCCCGCGGCTCGTGCCCAGCCTGACCGCGCTCGGCATGCGCTCGTAGACTGTGTCCTTGAAGGCGGTGTGGAGTAGCGCCTCAAAGTTGACGCACGGCGCGTAGCGGCAGCGAGCGCTGGTCTTGCACGGGAGGGCGGTCTCTGGTTGAAGTTTGGGCAAAAGCCAATCCCGTCGCGCGCCGCCATCGCCTTGACCTTGCCCGCCGCGCGCGCGACCTCGACCTTGTTGTCGACGATGACGCTCTGGAAGGTCTTCTGCTTGGCGACGTTCGCCGCTACGGCGCGCCTGGCCTTGAGTGCCTGCGCGGCGCACTGCGCGTCGTGGAGATGAGAGATTTTTGTTGGATGATGTCGTCGCTGGTCGTCGCAAAGGCGCGGCACGATGGGCAGAGCTTGTTCCCGAGGACCTTACACACCCGACATCGAGGCGAGGAGGTCCGCAGACATCACCGCTCGCGTAGACGTTGGGCAGGACCGCGCGTGTGCCCTTGCAGTAAAACCGCCGCACACGCGAGGCGAGAGACAGCCGCGATGCGAGAGACAGCCTAGAACCAGCCAAGGTTTGCACCAGCGTCCTCTGCGGCGACGCGAGAGACAGCCGAGATGCGAGAGACAGCCTAGATACAGCCGCGGTTTGCACCAGCGTCCTCTGTGGAAAGGCGAGAGACAGCGGAGACACTGCCCGGAGACACTGCCTGGTCACGTATCGGAGACAGAGCCCGTCCTAGCACCGCCTGCGCAGCCACACGCGCCCACAGTGTCATCCGACCCCCCCCCCCCCCCCTCCGCCCCGGCCCCAAGGTGCTCGCCATGCCGCTGATCGCCCGCGCCCTCGCCGAGCTCTTCGGAGTCGCGGACGCGGACGCCCTCAACTTCGCCTTCCTGTAGGGCATGCTCCCCGCCGCGCCCACAGTCGTCATCTTCGCGGGGGAGTTGGGTCCTCCTCGCCGCAGACCCCCCCCCCCCCCCCCCCCGCCACCGCCACCGCCACCGCAGAGCA